GAATGCATTAAACCCCCCCCCCCCCCCCAACAGACTTCCAGCATATTTTATACCTACACAAACATAAAACTGTTTTACATCCTTTAGCAGGGCTGTCTAACAGATGAAAACTCTGTATAAATTAGACTCTTCTAAATCTTGTATACACTGTACGTATAGTAGTACTGTAACAGGAAGAAACATACTGCACACTTACAAATAGGCACCCTACACTGTGGATGTTCTATATTTAAACCTTTTTTGTGAGCTGGGCTGTAAAATGATCATCATCAGGTTCTAGCTGGGATTTAACTTAATTTGGTTGTGTAAACGGGGCTATTTAACCATGTCAGTCATCTTGGAACCTGGATACAATTCATAGGACCTCTAGCTGCCTTGGAGACAGAATCTCCACTATCACAGTTCTAGCTACAGTGTAGACAGAGCTACCAGGTAGGATTTTGAACTGAATGACACATTCAGATGAATGGAGGGGAGTGCACCCCTCAGGCAATGCTACGTCCATCTGGCCATCTGTACAAATGGCAAGGTAGGAATGGGTCAAATGAAATGACCTCCACTGGCTGAAGGACAAGCAACACAGGTGCATTCTAGACAGCAACACCCAAACACGTGAGAGCCATTCATGTTCTACCCCTGCAAAGTTTGTGAGCAGCCCCTGAAAACCCTGATGCTCTGCTATGCCCCGTCTGTGCAGCAAATACCATTCCACAAAAGCTGGCTTTCTGTCTTTGCTCAACAAACAGCTGGCAGTGGCTCCTGGCACACACAAAGAGATTCAGATTGGATTTCAGGTTTCACATTCAGCAATACTATTTAATGAGCAGGAAAAAAATTAAAGTTGCCCCACCGTTTATGTTGTGTAAATCTGAGATAATAGATCTTCTCCCTAATCCTAATGAGGCTTTCCCATTAAAATCTTTATTAGCTCCTAGCTCAGCAGATTGCCAAAAGGCTCATCAGTTTCCCTATCGCTCAGTACCAAGATCTGCTTTAACTTTTACAAATAGCTCTAAGATATTTCCCAGCTTATCAGCATTGCCATGCAGCCTGTCTTATCATTACTACTGCAGATAAAATAAATGAGCTTGGGATGATATGAATAATGGCATTTTCTGTAGGCTAGTTTCCCATTACATTTTCAACAGATTGTAGATTTAAACTTCAGCACAAAAGAAAAAAGGGGGGGGGGGAGAGGGCCTTTCCCCCCCCTTTTTCTTTTTTTTAAATTTACCTGCATTGCCTCAGAACCTGGAATGTATTTCTAAGTTCACCTGAAGTGAGCAGGTAATTAATTTTGAAAGGGACTCTGTTCTGCTTCTCTGAAGGCCTAATGCACAGGTACTTCTGGGACATTTCTTCAGTTGCATTCAGTGAAGAGAGGCAAGGACTAAATTGCGTGCTGTCTAATGAAGCCATCTTCATTAGTTTGTTCTTTTCTCTTGCAGATTACAAGTACCAGTCAGATTGGGAATTGAAATAATGAAAAACACCAGAAGTGTATCTGAATTAAAAGACTAGGCTGCAAAGGTCTCCAACGCCTGCTCCTGTCTGATTAGACCATGCACATTTGGCACATTAGTGGCACAGGGAAATCTTAACACAGCAAAAGCTAAGGGATAACACACAGCACTAACGAGACAACACAACACTAAAATACTAATATTCTCTTGGTTTTCACGACAAGAAGCACGAAGGTCATGTTCTGGCAACCATTTTCTGTCTGGACCCCCTGGCAATTGCTACAGGGTTAAATGCTTTTCCGATCCCC